CTTTGCTTATTTGGGGCTTCTTTCCATTCCAAATGAAACTAGAGATTACCTTTTCCATCTCCTTGAAGAATGGGATTGGTATTTGTATTGGGAAGCAATACATTTTTTGATTTCCTGGCTACTGGTGCCAAGAGTGTTGACCGTGGAGCCAAGCAGACTAAAGTTGTTAACAATCTCAATCTCTTCACCATCCATCATGCTGCTGCCAGTTGGTCCAGTGGCAAGAATCTTTGTCTTCTTGACATTGTGCCTCAATCCATACTGAAGGCTGCAGTCCTTGACCCTCTGCAGCAAGCATTTCAGGTCCTCCTCAGTTTCAGCAAGCAGGATTGCATCATTTGCATAACGCAGATTGTTAATAGATCTTCCACCAATCAAAAATGAGTGCTGCAGACAAAGTTACAGAATCATTTAGTATCTAGTCTAATTTTGCATCATCTTGCAAATGATGATGAACTTGACTCACATCCCATTGAATGCTTAATGAAGGAAGTTGTGTTTCCTAGGTCTCCCTTGGCCGAGAATGGTATGTCCACGCCATCTACACGGTCAGATCCAAAGACAACACCAATCGAGGTATCGGTAAGAGAAGTGTGGAGTACCAGTACCATTCTCTGGCCAGTCCAGGGATGGCCCAGGCCCCAAGCAAGACCCAGAGGAAGCGAGGGACCAGGAGCGTGCCTCCAGTGACGTGGGAAATCGGGGCTGAAAATAACCGAGGAACCAACATCCAGCACCTTGCCCTGGACCGCAGTGACAAGAAGCAGACCCCTCTGGGGAAAGACCCTCCTGATGGCATCCTCCCCCGAGAGTTCAACCACCCGGGCGCTGACATCAGCCTGGTCACTGTCGCTGGGGCCGTGGCAGTCGGGCTGCTTACCGTCTGTGTCGCAGTCGTTGCAGTGATGATGTGCAGGAGCAGAGAGAAGGCCAGGAGGAAGGACGCCCCTCATAGCTCCGGCAGCAGCGAGCCCGTGATGCCTGCACACAGCCTCAGCAGCGACAGCTCCGAGGTCTGACCCCCTTGGCCTCCGGTGTCTCAGAAATGCCCACAGAAGCCCAGAGACTGCTGACCAATCGCAGGCCACTGGGAACGTGTGAAGAAGCTGCTCCAAAAACTTGCCTGGACTCATGTACTTGGATGCAAATTCTAGCTGTTTCTCCACCCGCTGGAGAACTTCTCGCCCATTAGACAGCAACGATAGATTCCCACCCATCCAGAGTCACAGAGACATCGTGCATTTAGACTGTTCCTCTACGTGGTGGAGATGGGCCTGTTCAAAGGTGCTAACAGACTCTCAGACGGAGGCTGTGGTTGCTGCAGGGTGTGAAATCTGAAGGTGCAATTATCACACTGTTTATTCCTTTTATAAGTTTATTGCTCTTTTAGTTCGTAGTCTGACAGAATGATAAATACACTGTTTATTGTGACAAGTTTTCTAATTGATGAAGACCATGTAGAATTGTAACCAGGGGTAGCTCAACACTAAAGAAAAAAACAAAACAAGAACCCTCTTTTCTACTCTGTGAGGGGAAACTAACTAACTAGAATTTGATGTGTTTCCTGTCCTCACCAGCCCCTCCTCAGTTTAGGTGCTGATTTACATTTATATGAAACCAAAGACCAGGTCTGGCAGACGTTGTTTAAGAGAAGTGGCTTTGTCAGGGCAGCTATCAAGTGATAGATTTGTGGGATGGGAATCTGCCTGGTTGATGCTTGCCGTTTGGGGGAAATGGGGAAGCCAGTGACATTTTAATGGTGACGAAGAAGAACTGTAGTTAGATTCATATTTTCAGGACAATCTAAGAAACGAACCTCAACCACGTTTACAGTATTGCAGAGCTTCTGAAATGGAGAACAAAGCTTACTCTTTTTCCTCACATTCTCCCCCTTCCTCACTCTTGAACAAAGGAATTTGGAGAAAGTGAAACAAATATAACCACAAGGATGAAGCACTTGCAATCAGTGCTTCAGCACTTTCTTGATTCACTTGCTGGAGACATGATTTAATATACATTGACAGTTAAAAAAAATTCTTTTAGTGGGAAAAAGAAGCAAAGCCTTATTCTCGCTGTTTTATTTTTAGAGAACTATTCTGGTATCCTCAGGGGAAGAAAAAAAAAAGCATAAACATCTTCCCATAGGAAATAGCAAATAAGCAACTATAGCCTCTTGAGTACTGAACGGCTTCTGACCCCAGTTATGACAAGGTCTTGTTGACAGGACATTGTTGTTGTTAGGAGTGGACATGAACAAGTTGGATACAACTCATAGTGACCTAGTGTGCAGCAGACAAACCCCGGGCTGATCCTGCAC